AACTCAGTATCATTTGGTGACAATGGTAAGGAAAAACTCCATTTTAATAGGAAGAAACCTCGGGCAGAAACAGGCTCGGGGAGGGGCGGGGCCACTTTTAAATACTCTAGGAAAAAGGCGTAAGCCTGCAGTCTGTGAACGAAGTGCTCTATTGCAGTGATATGATACTATGGGCATTAGATGGGGTCTCATTATTCAAGGTCTTTTATGTAATGAGAAAGATTTTAATGTTAATTCTGGATTTAACAAGGATCCAATGAGTGAGAAACATGCTCTCTCTTTTCTAGTCCTTGTCAGTACTTTCGTTGCTGCACTTTGGATCAACTGAAGTTTTTTCAAAGTGGGGCATTTATGTCCAGCACATCCCACAGATGCTAGATCGTTAATCCCCCACTGTTCCTTCCTTGGACCATTATAGGTATGTGGCGAGTTTCCTGCTGCAGGTGCAATGGACGCACCTGCGTGGCATCTACAAAGCACGCCCCGCCACAAGGTACATAGTGACCACTGCAGACTGGGAACTACAGGAGAGACAGTTTTGGAGATGCTCTGACGCAGTCACCTAGCCATCACAATTTGGCCCTTGACAAATTTGCTCAAATCCTTACACTTTACAACATTTGCAGCAATATTTATCACTTAAAATAGAGCTCCTACTTGTAAACTGTAGTGTCTTGGACGCAGTGGGCAGCAGTCAGCAGCCAGCGGTCACTCAGCACAGAGGCTCCACACATGTGTCCTAGCCCCTTGAAGTGGAGGCTCACCTGCCAGGGCCACTCGCCCACATTAGCTCCCCGACCCCCCACAATACGAGTGCTACTGTACAAACTCGTACCGCAATCTGAAAGCAAACACAGATCTTAATACACTAGAAAAATCACACTGCAACCATCTGTGGGTGAGTGTGTGGTAAACGTACCACAGTTAGCCTCGTCAGAGCCGTCCTCACAGTCCTGCACTCCATCACACTCTGGGTTCAGTTTGCTGATGCAGAGTCCATTACTGCAGTGGAAGGTGAACACTGAGCACACCACTGAAGCTAAATGAAAGGAGACATACATGACATTAGTCTCTAAGAAAATTCTAATACAAAGGCATCTTTTAGGTCAAAATATCAATTAAAATGTTTTTTTCATGAAATCTAATCTTAATTTTTAGTATCTTCAAATCATTTATGTTAGCTTAAAGTTTTGTCATTCTTCACATTCATCAGGCCAGTGTTTCCCAACCACTGCTCTGGTGTTATTTATTTAAAATTATTTAATTTTAATTAACTGCTGCAAAAAATGCAATTTAATGATTACAGCAAATACTAAAATCATTGTTGGGCATCTGTGCTTTCAATGCAGTGACTGGTAGAGTAATTACTCTTTCATGTCAGTAGGTGGCAGTGGGTAGCGAAAAGTGAGCTTGCTAAGTTAAGACAATAGAATTAGTGATGCATGTGGTACGTGGCAGTTGGAAGACATACAACAAAGCTGAATAAATATTTGAAAGGAAAAATTGCAGACTCCAAACTGGGGCCTGGACAACATTCTAGTCCAGAAGAGCCGAGTATGAGTGGTGGTCAAAAGAAAGCAAAAAACGGTGGGCTCGAGGCAGTACAGCGAAAGTTATCTTTTGTTTGGATTTACTTTCACTGGAGATCCAACTGCACCAATTCTATTATGTTTGTGTGGGGAAACGCTCTCAAACAGTGCCATGGTCCTAAGCAAGGTTAAACACCATCTGCACACAAAGCATCCCTCACTTCAAAACAAGGACGCAGACTATGTT